ATTCTAAGAACAGTTGCTTCCCCTTGATTCTGCTCCACATCCGAACCAGTGACAAAACCAGCTCTGACAGCTCCACTGGCCTCTGAGAAATGGCTGGGCCTTCAATTTCATAGGCTGGGAGTTGGACATAATGACCGCGATATTTGGAGGGGATACTGGGGAGGATAAAATGGCACCCCAGAAATGTACCACACAAGACTGCTGCCACCGGGATGCCCCAGAAAGACCTCCCTCACAACGCATCCTTCAGCCCGAGCCCCAGCAGCTGGGAGTCCACCTTCGCCTGTGACCCAATCCACCACGGTGGTGACGGGGCCCTGGGCCACAGTGTAGAAGTTAAACCCAGCTGCGAGCCATTTCGCTATCAAGTGATACCTGCATTAACTCGCCAGGGTTTGATAAACCTGGTCACTTGTAAGAGTCCCTAGGGAACAGGGCAGCTATGGCTCCACACTTGCTAACTTCCATTTCCCTTGCTCTCTGCCAATCCTTAACTTACCGTCTGCCAAGCTTCCTCCAAGCCCTGGGCTGATGCTCTTGCGGTCTCCCTTGCAGAAACAGGCAGAAGCCACAGTTCTACCCTCAGTTATCAACAGCATTTGGAAATTTGAATCTTCAAAGGCTGAGCTCACCAGGCAAAACCCTTGTTTTGGGGGAAGCGGTTCCACCACAAAACAGGCACCCTGGTCATAATGTTCCTTTAATTGATACGCACCCCCTTGGCAATGAACCAGACACAGCCAGATAACATTCTGCTCTCTGCTTCTCTCATGCATTCATTCTCTGCTCATTCAGCAGTTATTGAGTATCTAGTGTGTTCCAGGCACTGGGATCCATCAGGGTCTCTCAAAAGGCAGACCCCCGAACCAAGTGAGCATTTCCCAAAGCCTTTCGGGGGAGTCAAGGAGCGGGCCCCACTTGGGTGTGGAAGTGCTACGAGGGAAGGAAGACAAGAAGAAAAAGTACCAAAGACAAAGAGAACTGCAAAGAAATGTTACACTCTAATCAGGAGTCTGCTGGTTAATAGTAACACCAATATTATTCTTTTAAAATTATTGTGTGGATGTGTATGTGTGTATACATATATATAATGGGATAATACAAAAATGTAATTATTTATTGGGGCGCCTGGGTGGCTTAGTTGGTTAAGCATCCGACTTTCGCTTAGGTCATGATCTCACAGTTTGTGGGTTCGAGCCCCGCATCGGGCTCTGTGCTGACTGCCAGCTCAGAGCCTGGAGCCTGTTTCAGCCTGTGACTCCCTCTCTCTCTGACCCTCCCCTGCTCACGCTGTCTCTCTCTCTCTCCTAAAAATAAATAAAACATTAAAAAAAAAAATTAAAAAAAAATGTAATTATTTATTGTTAGGAACCAAAACTGTCAGTGTAAAAGAAATCATGGGAGAAGGGAAGGGGGAAAATAGTTACAAACAGAGAGAGGGAGGCAATCCATAAGAGACTCTTAAATACAGAGAACTGAGGGTTGGGGGAGGAGAGGGGCGTGAGGGAGAGGGGAAAATGGGTGATGGGCATTGAGCAGGGCACTTGTTGGGATGAGCACTGGGTGTTGTATGTAAAAAATGAACCACAGGAATCTGCCCCCAAAACCAAGAGCACACTGTATACACTGTATGTTAGCCAACTTGACAATAAATTATATTAAGAAAAGAAATCATATGAAAATCAAGGGAATTAAGCTTGAAACACTGTAATGTTACATTTGAACTGGAAAGATCAGCATTATGGTGGTCACATGTCTGCAAACAACCCTCACATCTCAGAGGCTTACAACAGCAACATTAATTTCATGCTCAGAGGCTGGAAGAATGCCTTCAGGTCAGCCAACCTCCCTTGGGCTCATTGGGGCGGGGCCAGGCTAGGCTGGAGTGCTTTGGGTTAGGTTAGGTCAGGCCATCGATGACATCCTCGTTTTGGGACTCAGGCTGAACGAGCAACAGCTACCCATACATCATGGAAAGTGGAAGTTCCAAGAGGGCCGGCCATGCCTCTCGCTCACCACGTACACGCTGTCACTTGTGCCCAAAGTCAGTGGGATGAGAAGCACACAGCACCCACAGGGAAGTCATGACAAGGGTGAGGAGGGGAGGAAGAGCTGTGGAGAAAGACCACCACCTACCCTAATTATGAACTCATGACTTTTCTTTTCAAAACTAAATATTTCTTAACGCTGTCCACCAAAAGGGCCTAAAAGCACTGCAACCTCCTCCCATGAGCATCCTTTCACCTAGATTGTGGTCTCTGAATATTATTCTCCAGTAAAAGAAACCAGAGCCTTGAGGTACACCTAATTCCAGGTCTTCAGCAGGAAACGTACAAAGGAACACTGAGAAAGCTCGTTGTGCCAAAGCGCAAGGAAGCTAGCAAAACCAAGGGGACCATGTTAAAAGGATACAGGAGATGCACCAAGGGCTCCCATTGGTTAAAGAAAGGACAATTCACATATCAAATAGAAGAGTGAATACAATTCGCTGAAACACAGATCCCTAGCCCCACTCTAATCCTACAGAATCAGAATCTCTAAGGATGGAGCCTAAGCATCTGTATTTTTTTCTAACAGAGCTCCCCAACTGATTCTGAGGCATAGGCAGGGCTGAAAGTCACCAGGATGGAGGCTTCCTGATCTTCCGGAGTGCAGGTCACTCAGAGTGCCCATCTTGCTCTCGGATGCTGGCCTCTGCTTCCTGGGAAGCCTTGTCAAATGCCTAACTGTCCTTCATTCATGTTCTCCAACTCCGGGGTGGCCCAGCCCCACTGCAGCAGACATCACCCAGAAGAAAAATGCTACTTTTCAGTCTACTAACAGCAATAACAGCAGCAAAACAGATGGGGCAGCTCCAAGGGTCCTCCTTTCAACCACAGTTTTGACAATGACTGTGAAGAATAAACTCTTCTATTTTTAGCTAACGTAGATCCAAGACATTCAAGTTTGGGGTTTCTCCATATATCTCAAAGAATTAGTTCTTAATCCTCACTTTATCAGAATCACCTGGTAACCTTCTACAAAACAGGGCTGACTGGGCTCCAGGCCCGGACTCAAACATCCAGATTCAATGGCCGAGGGTGGAATCTGGGCACCCCATGTTTCAGAGGCCGCCCACATGATTCTGACATGCCGTGATAGACAGCCACCACTCCAGGCTAACATCTTGAAAGTCAAACATCTCCACCTTAATGTCTTATCACAATCTGAATCAAGATATGCCTTGGACAAGGCACCTTCCAAACCTCAGTGCCCCGGGCAAAAGTCTCAGTCTGCCCCTAATTGTGCCTTTGAAGAACTTCCCACCATTTTCCCTCCGACAATCAAGCCTGAGCAGCCTCCCCAGCCTCCCTGGGCACAGGACTCAGGGCTCACGGCAAGCTGGGCTCCTCTCCCGGATGCTCAGGACAAAGAATAAAGACCGTAATGTCTAAACTGCTCCAGATCAAAGCCAAGCAGAGAAGACAATCACAAACAGCTCAAACTGAGAACTAAGGCAACCGTCACACAAATACTCCTCTCAAAGTCTCCAAGAGGTAGAGTGGTTTTATTTTATTTTTTTTTAATTAGAAAGAATGGGGATAATTCCATGTTAGAAGAAAAGAGTAAAAGATTGGAAGTCAGCCAATTCAAAAAAGCTAACATAGTTCTGCTCCCCAAAACCCAATGAACACGGCACGCACACACGCTCATGCTACACATGCATGCATGCACACACACACACGCACACACTAATACAAATCATTGCCATGCCTTCACATAGATGCTGAGCGCAGCTAGCAGTCCTAGCTTCCTCCTAATTTGCAGGAGGTGGGATGGATCTCAGCTCTCAGAAGGCCTAAATCCTTAGTCTGGCTTTGTATTAAAATATGCTGCTTTTCTCAAAGACTTAACAGCTACCATCCTGTAAGAATGGCTATCGGTCAAGATTGTTCTGGAATTCACAGCATAGTTGCAGCAGACACTTTCTGACCTATCTCCCTATCTAAGCCCCTCTTCTGTAATATGTGCACCCCATTCACCAGGCTGGGTCCCCTCAGCTGTGCCTGCTCGTCTAGCCACATACCCCTGGCCTAGGTTATGAACCAGTACTAGACACATGGCTCAGCCGGGCTGGGCTGAGAGCTATTGATTTATTTCAGTCTGGAAGGTAGATCAAAGGAGGATGGTGTAAATGTGAGCCCTTCGGGGAGGCTAGGCTGGACCACGTGAGCAGATGGAAGCAAAGACAGGGGAGCGAAAAAGAGGAAAAAGCAGAGGCAAGGGGCAGAGATGGCTTGCGTCTCAGCTGGCTCTCTGGCTGCCTGAACTCCGGGCCCATGGATTCCATAAGGTACCCTTTTTTTCCTCGTATTACACTCCCCTTCTGCCTATTCAGCTACTTTGAAATGGATGTCTGTCACTTGCCAACAAAAAGACCGCTGACTAAAACAACTGTAAAGCCTTGTTATCAACTGCTCAACATTTCCAGGATATTTTTAAAGACCAAGACTAACTTTTTTCTCTTTATTGAATATACGGTTTCTAAAAATGTACATATGCTTTTAATGTACACATGTGTATGTTTTGCTGTGGCAACTGGTTTCAGAATCAGAAATAAGATAACCACCAGAATTTGGGATCAACAAAAAGAAAGCTCTCTAGAAAAATGTTCCCTCACATCCCCTTCTTGACAGGGACCATTCTCGGCAGGAGGAACCAGGAGAAGGGAATCAGTGTGGGAAGGCCTGGCTCGGTCATGGAGGCTGTGGGTACCAAGTGCCCCCAGCCCTGACCAAGTGGGCCCGATGCAGTGAAATTCTCCACAGATCCCAAACAGCTAGCTCACAGAACGAGAGCACCATTGAGAATGAGAAGCTCTGGGATGCTCTCTTTAAAAGGGGCTTAAGTCAATAATGCATTTATAGAGACCAAGAAAGAAACCAAGAGTGGCTCAAACTGACTAAATCCCCTCTTCCCAGCAACAGTGTTTAGAGCAATTCAAAGGACAGGGTACAGACCTCCGGCTGGATGGCTTTAAACACAGGTATGTCCATTAACGTGATCTGGCTCTGTAACAAAAGAGAATCAGTGTTAGAATAAACTGTAAATCAAAGACAGCTGTCCTGGTACTTTGACTCTATACAGTGTAAGAACACATTCTCTCATGAGACACAAATCAAGGAAGAATAGAATAAAAGTCTAAAATGCCACTCCCATCCTTTCCCCCTTCGTAAATCTTGTCCCCACATTCTTCTTTCTTTAATGTGAGACGAACTCCCAATTTAAGAATGGATAATAGTCATTTGGAGGGTGGGACTGAGATTGAGGGGAACATTTTCAGTTTGGATATTTTTGTACTTTTTGAGTTGCTCTTTCAAGTATGAATTACTTTTGGAATTTAAAAAGTTGCAGACACAGTATTAAAAATTAGAATGCTAAGGAGACACTATCTATTACTCTAAATTTACATTTTTAAAAAAATTGTGGCTTATAGAAATTGTACATTTCTTCTGAAGTCTCAGCCTCCTCTAAATTATATAGTAGATGCATCGTGCTGGACCGCAGACTATTTATTCCACCAGCCCACAATGAGAGAACTTCAGAACTTGAGAGCAAGCATTCGGGAACTTTTATAGCAAATTGCCACATTTTTATTGTTGTTTTTTTTTTTAAATATTAGTCCTCAACAGAAAGGAGATGGAAAAAACTGGCCCTTTAACCACAGCTAGCTTGAGAAGCATTAATGCTGTAAATATGGAAAACACATACAATTAAAAGGCTGTTCTAGGGGCCCCTGGGTGGCTGAGGCAGTAGAGCATCTGACTCTCGACTTCAGCTCTGGTCATGATCTCTTGGTCCGGGGGTTAGAGCATCACATCAGGATCAATGCTGACAGTGTGGAGCCTGCTTGGGATTCTCTCTCTCTCTCTCTCTCTCTCTCTCTCTCTCTCTCAAAATAAGGAAATAAACTTAAAATAAAATAAAATAAAATAATATAAAATAAAAGGCTGGTCCCATCGTTAGCTGCTCATCAGGCAGCAGTAAGAGAAAGCATCCTTGCTGATGATCTGTGCAGGATGAATTGAGCTGACTTCACATGACCTGCCCATCTCCACATGTCACCTGGGATGTCAGATGTCAGTTAACAGACACCTCTGTGACAGGCCAGGGAAAGGAGAGTCAAGGGCATTTGGATGTCTCCTAATGCAAGAAGACACCCTGCCCCTGGCACACAGGTCAAAGGGGAGGACGCGATGCAGGGGGATGAACTTGGACTCTGAAATCAGCGGGAGCCGGGGGTGTGTCTGGATAACACTGCTTGACGACAATATTCTCTGCATGATTTAACCTCTCTCCCAATCTCAGGTGCCACATCTAGGAAATGGTAATAATAATCCCTACCTTATAGGATCCTTGGGAAAATGTAAGACAAGATGTGCAGAATGTCTGGCATTTGACAGGTGCTCTCTCTGGATAGGTATATGCACACGTGTGTGTACATGCAAGTAGTGAGAGCGCATCTATGTATGTGTGTAGAGAGACACACACACAGAGACCGAGAACATCTGTCAGGTGCCAGGCACTCTGCACCTCCTATTTTAAATTTTCACAAAGATTACATATGTATCATGGACCCTTGAACAGCACAGGTGTTATGGATGCCAAACATCCACAGTCAAAAATCTGCATATAACTTTTGACTCTTTACTGATAGCCTACTCTTGACCAGAAGCCTTACCGATAATGTCAACAGCTGACTAACACATTTTGTATGTTATATGAATTATAAACTGTATTCTTACAATAAGGGAAGCTAGAGGAAAACAAACATTATTAAGAAAAGTATAAGCAAGGGGTGCTTCAGTGGCTCAGTCGATTAAGCATCCAACTTCGGCTCAGGTCATGATCTCACGTTTGTGAGTTCGAGCCCTGCATTGGGCTCTGTGCTGACAGCTCAGAACCTGGAGCCTGCTTCAGATTCTCTGTCTCCCTCTCTCTGCCCCTCCCCTTCTCATGCTGTCTCTCTCTCTCTGTGTCCAAAATAAATAAACATTAAAAAAATTTTTTTAATCTTAAAAAAAAGTAAAGTATAAAGAAGAAAAACTGCATTTACGGTACTGTATTTATAAAAATAATCTTTATATAAGTGGAAACACACAGTTCAAACTTGTGTGTTCAAGGGTGAACTGTGCCCGCATGTGTGTTTATATATTTATGCTTACATATCATATATATGTGAAGTCACTCAGGTGGGCTTCATGTATTGGCTCCTGACCAATACACGAGCTAAGAAATAAGGGGCTGTTGATGTATTTGAATATTCATGCATCAAAGTTGCTCTAGAAAATACTTAAAGGAGGCTGTTACATTGAGTCAACAAATACTGTCATAAAAAGAAAGCCTCATGTCCAGAACACATGAGAAAAATGGCAACACACACAGTATGTCAAGTGTAACCACAATCCGGGGCTAAGGTGCAAAACTGTGGTCGCCTCTCGGCATAATTTAAAGGTGGTCCAAGACCGCTGGGTTCCTGAGAAGCACAGGATGCAGGCCAAAGCATACCATCCTCAGGGCTGGGTGGGAGGGGGAAGTAAGCAGGTGGCTTCTGCGGAGAGCCTCTCTGTCCCCTCCAAGGGGCCAGTGCTGCCACTAATGGAGGCTCGGCAGAGGGGCAGCAATGGCGCCGGGAATGAAGAAGCGCTTGGGAACCGAGTCCTCCCACCTCTGGGTCTAACCACCAGCAGTAAGGGGGCACTGGACGTCCACAGAAGGTGGGTCTGGCTCTCGTAATCTGGGCGTCGAGGGATGCCTGAGGCCTGGAAGCCTACGGACACTGCAAACAGACTGGCATTCCTCCTGCCAGATCTGTGGAGATCGCCAGCCAAGGCCCCTCACATTTGGATTAATTCGGTCATCCTGGGGAACAGAAAGGCCTTGTGGAAACAGGAGATTTGTGCTCAAAGCTCAGAGGGCCTTGGAAATCTCTCCTGTGGCTCAACTTAACTCCCCACCCGGGAGAGCCAGCAGGATGCTTGCTATGTCATATAGGAAGATAACCAAAAGTCTGCTAATGAGAAAAGGAGAAAATTTCCTCTCCATCCTGCCATCGCTCCTAGGGCTTGCTACTGAATTTCCAAATGATTTATGAAAATAGTGGCTTTATGTCTCACACGGTTTGGGATGGTCCAGGTTTCAAATATGGTGATCCCCACTCAGACCCTACGTCAGAAAACGTATTCAGGTGTTGTATTCAAAGCAAACAACAACAGAGGTCACCAAACTTAAAACAGACTGGCTGGCCCCAAACACACAACCTGAGGGTTTTCAGAAGTCTCTTGCGCATTTTTACCCTCACAGTTCTGACAGAGAAAGAAGCTGAGTCGGGAACAAGAACGTGTCGATACACAGGTAAAATCATCAGATTAGAACTGTGACATTTTACTACAAAGTCAAACGTGGGGGAAAGGGTGCTGACGGGCAGCCCTTCCCAGGACGTGTGGGGGCTCCAACGAAGGCAGTTTTAGCAGAAAGAGAGGGAGTGGGCAGGGACGGAGGCTTAAAGGTGACCAGCCCCGTCCCCCTTCACAGCATTCCCGGCCTCAGAAGACCTTGCCCCCCACCCAGGGGAGAGGCCTAGGCTTCCTGGAGAGAAAGGGCATTTCCAGGGGTGTGGTGTGGCCTCCTCAGAAACACCCAACAACAGGCCCTTCCGGTCTACAAGTAGCACTTGTGAGGCGCACCAGGCATGGTATGGACGTGCTGAATCACCACACCGCACCTGAAGCTAATATTACACTGTGTGGGCATTGACTGGAAAACATAAACAGAATGAATGAATGAATGAATGCATGCATGCAGCACAGCCTCCTCAGTGAGGCACATATGCTCAGACAGAGGTGCACACTCATGAACAAGTCTCTCAACAGCTTCTCCTTATCTTTGGAAATGAACCCTTCACACGGGATGCCCAATTAAGCTGGTCATCTGGCAATGCCTCCCTTAATCCTTTTTTTTTTTTTTTGTAACATTTTTAATGCTTGGTGGCTTTTTGGTTTTTGGTTTTTGGGTTTTTTTTGAGAGAGAGAGAGAGAGAGAGAAGGAGAGAAACAGGGCACCCGCAGGGAAGGGGAAGAAAAGAGAGAGGGAGACACAGGATCGAAGCAGGCTCCAGGCTCTGAGCTGACAGCAAAGAGCCTGATGTGGGGCTCAAACCCACAAACGGCGAGACCATGACCTGAGCTGACATTGGGCACCTAACCGCCTGAGCCACCCACATGCCCCATGCCTTCCTTAATCCTAACTCCCTTCTCCCACTCCCTCCTTCACCCTAGTCAAGGACTCCCTAAAAATCCAGGCTTTTTAGGGAAACGGCCAATCTCCACATATTACAAAACATTTCTGTTGAGGTGACTCCTTCAGCTCGGAGAGGCCTATTGGAGCACTTCACAGTATGGCCCCGAAGAAAGAGGTGGTTACTGTGCAGATAAATGAAAGCCACTTAGCCAAAAAGGAAAGGAAAAAGAAAAAAAAAAAAAAAAACACCTGTTTTCTGCGTATGCTGAATGTAATGTTTCCCCCTCTAATACTGGTCACTAAATCCCCCTTCCCAGCCACAACTTTAGTATAAAGGCTCTCTCAACCCCCAAATAAACAAACGAAAGAAGCTATTGGCAAATGAGTGGCGTATTTTATAACAGAAGGTATCTTTAAATTTGCATTTAGATCACCCACCACCAGCACAGGACCAGGAAGGCTCACAGAACAAAAGGCAATCAGCTCCAAAGACATATTCCTACTTGCACTCCTAGAGCCTCAGGAAGCACGTGTCGGGCAAATTTAGAATCACAGCCAAGGAAATGCAAATTCAACAGGAAGATGCCATTTGTCGTCCGTCAGTGCCACCAGGAGCGACAGGACTTTATAGACTGCTCTGTTCTTTTTGGAAAGCAATCTGGCAGTAGCCCGTTGAAAAAGTTCTTTAACTCTTGCATTTTTTTTTTTAAAAAAAAAGTCAAATTTCTAAAAAAAAGCTGCAAGAATAGTATGATGATCTATAACCTTTCGC